TAACAAGTGTAATATCCACTAAAGCAAAGCTTAAGTATATAACACCAACATTGTCGAGTCGTTCGGTCCAGATCTAGTTAGTCGGTAGGGGAGTTTCTAGATGTTGTGTGTGGGCCATGGGCTTGACCTTCTTGGTTGGTTGGCTTGTGCTCTGTGCTCGTTTTGGGGGTGTTCGGGAGTGGCTCGACAGTTGGTGGAGAGGGCTTTATTCTAGCTATTAGTTTTTCTTGTGTTGTTTTTTTATGTGCTTTGTTATTTTCTCTCCATTTGGAGTGTGTTTCGTGTATTTTTCACTAGTGGTAGCTTTTCTTTCTCCCGTTGGGAGCTTTTGCGGTCAGTTCTAGGATACCTATGGTGTAGTCCTTCCAACTCGAGTCAACTGGGTAGCTAGCTTTTTGGCTATTTAGCTGATTTTCTAGTTTGTAATTATGTGTTTATTTATGAAAATCTATCATTTCGGGAAAAAAAAAAAGAAAAACAGAAAAGAACAATACACAAAATGTAGATAAGAGAAGAAAGCTAGTCAAGGCTAAAGTTGCTCTTTCCACAAGACAAATACGCCCCGTAGTGTGTTGACGGATTCAGACGTCTCGTCCCCAAAGATACAACGACTATGTCTCAGAAGCTGAAACACTTGACTTTTGAGCTTCGACAAAATTGAACGAAGTCGAAAACTGTGCACTGTCATCATGCAAGAAGCTTTCCGAGGAGTAATAATGCACTGATCTGCAGCTCTACTGTTGCGCAAATTATCCTCTGACCCAGTTTGAGCCGTAATCCTCCAACTTGAACTGGTTTGACGTCTCCGATGACCTGCAAAAAGTTGGGAGGGGTAACACTCTGATGCCTAAGTCAGTCCACGTTCAATAATGTGGTAATAAGATATTTCGCGCGTGTATGTGTGTTGTGTAAAGTAATAACCTATATTCTTCCGTACGTCTCAGACTTGAGGTAACTCCTACGCCTTCAAGCCCGGCCTTATGAGCACCAGGGCACCGAGGTTGTCTTACCGGTCATCCTCAAGATGAAGTTCCTACATCGACCTTGCTAAAAGTTCATAATGACTGTCCGTGACGAGCTCCTTTAAGGACCTATTGTATCATCAAGTTGAGCGATCCCTTACTAAGCATACGGTCTTCGCCCGCTCAACCGACTATAAGTCGAGCTTTCAAGGGTGCCAACTAGGTTAGTATCGTCGAGCTTATCATAATCGGTCCAACTATAAGCCCTTTGTCTCTGTGTTTTACAGTCAAACTTCAAGCGTCTTCCGATCTCGATTCGAGCTTGGTCTTTTACATGTTTCTACGAGCCACTCCATCCATGGATTTATCACCCTATTCCCCCATTTATGAGACTAACTAATACAACTTGTTTAAGAAATAAGAAAATAAGGTGTGTCCTGGCGAGTAGCCTTACTTCCATTATCTAGCTATGTCAGATGTGTGACATCGAGCAGCACATCCATAACATCGGCCAAATCCTTCTGCATACACCACATGTCCCATCATCGATGTGCCTTTTTGGCACAAGTGATTATGATATGGTGAATCGGCTTTCGAGCATAGTTATGATTTGGCCAATGATCCCTTTCATTGATCCATTAGTGGAATACATGGCTACGATCAGCCTACCTTTGATCTATACTCAGAATTCTGGTACACGCTATTTATCTCCATCATTGATTTACCTTTGAAATGGAGACATAAATCCCTCGACTTTTCAGCTTTTGCCCTGGTCCAAACCCTCAATCTTTTTGATCCAATGATCGTAGATCAGCCTAGTCTGCTTACCATCATCTCATACTTATATATATATATATATATGCACTCTTCTCTCTTCTCTCAATCATCATCCACTACTCTTGAGATTTTAGCCTCTTACTCTCAGAACTCCGGTGTACTTGTGCATCATTTTCAGCGACCTCCGTCCACAAAACCGACTACTATCTTGTCTTCTCAACAATGTCTTTTAGTTTCAAGGGTAAGTAACATTCTTCCTTCTTTACTTAATGGTTTTTGTTGTCATAGTTGTTTGTTTCGACCATCCCAGCCATCTCTTACATCTTTCTATCATCGATCTTTGTATGTTCTGTTTATGTTACTAGAGCACCTCACCCCAATGACTAACTCGAACACCCACTCCCCTTCAAACTCAGAGCCCCTAGATGAGCCCTCGGTGACCCTAGCTCTACCGAATCCGATGAGTGCGACCGACCAAACTTTGACGGTCGCGGTTGATAAAGCAAAAAGGGTCTTCCCCATCATTGGAGTAGTGCGTCCCAACCCCATCTCTTCCTACTCGGCCAACCGAATAGCCAAACTCTTTGAAAAGGTAGAGCTCCCAAAGGTTGGGACCTCAAGGTCACCCGAGACGAAAGTACTTATTGTAACCCACCCTCCGGCTACTACACTTTTTTCTTTGATCATGCCACAACTAGGCTGAGATTTCCTTTACGCAATGACCTGGTGAAGCTTAGTAAGCTCTACCATTAACCACTTTTCTCCTAGCGCCATTAGATTGTTAGTGAGTTTCATCATGGTATACCGAGCTAGATTAGGTAGAATTGACCCTTGCCTTTGCTTTTACTGCCTTTTGATGAAACCTCTCAAAACTTCATACATTTTGTCCAATCGCAATGATGCGAGCTTCCCCAATAAATCCAAGTCCAAAGTTAATAATTATAAAAGCGAGTTAAACTTCGTCCGTCCCCGGTCAAATACTTTTGATTGTTCGCCGGAGTGGCTACACGAGCTGCTCGGCCAATGCGAGAATCCCAGACCTAACGCCGAGTAGGATGCCCTCATTCAACAATGGAGTAGACGATCTCTTCATGTCATAAAAATGACATACGACGTGCGACTTCTCAGTTACTTCCAGCTATCTAACTGTGCAGCACCCCTGTGGCCGATATTAGTAATTCTTTAATAGTCGGGATTAATTCGACGAATTAATCCCGACTAGTAAAGAATTACTAATATCTATTTATGAAATAAACAGACTGGAATTACGTTCTTGAATTGACTCAGTTACTAAATAAAATTTAAACCGAGTATATTCTCGACTTAAAGTCGAACATAAAACTTAATAACTTAATAACTGGGCTCGGAAACTAGAAACGAGCATTATTAATAAAAGGAAAATAGCTCAAACTCGGTAACTAAAACGTCATTTTTATTAATATTTAAACGAGACGTTACAATATATCCTCCTAAAACTAATTTTGTCCTTGGAAATACTAGAATTGAAAAATGTTACCTTACTAACTTAATAACTGGGCTCGAAAACTGGAAACGAGCATTAATATTAATAAAAGGAAAATAGCCCAAACTCGGAAACTAAAACATCATTTTTATTAATAATAAAATAGGACGTTATAATCCATCCTCCTAAAACCTATTTCCGTGCTTGGAGATACTAGAATTGAATAATACAACACTATACTTAAAATACATAAAAGTACGTCAAAATACTTATGCATCTCAGAACTCAAAATCTGGAAAACGAGTCCTGATTTCATCTTCTCGCTCCCAAGTAGCTTCAGATTGTTGGGATCTATGAGGATCACGTTATGTACAAATGACGAATTCAATAGGAAAACGTAAACCTATGCGCAACGGATCTAAAGGTTTGCGTAGAGAACTTATGGCTTAAAATTTACGGCGATCTGACTGATCTTTTGGATGGCCGTACACAACACACCAATGAATCAGATCACACGAACGGTTGACTGTAAATCACATCTTGGGATTGCACGAACAAGATCAGATCGAAAAACGGATCAAACGGGTGCAATCGGAAGAAAACGGAACTTGCAGTCAGACTCTTTCTGGCGGCGCGTGCGCGGCGGACGACAGCGATGGAAGGCTGACGCCGAGACGGTCGTCTCGGTATGCTGCACACCTTGATCAGACCTCCGGTTAGATCTGTACAATTAAATATATTTCGTCTCGGTTTACCTATAGATCTTCTACTGTATTACTCAATACACCCTTCTTCAACTTGTACCAGTGGAGCAACAAGAAGAAGACAAAGCTCGAATGAGAACTGAGAGAGAGAGAGAGAGATGGCGTGCGTGTATGGTGAATAATTATGATCTTGTATACTTTTCCCATGAGCTTAATGATGTATATACAAAGGTACAGTAGGGACCCTAAGGAGATTAGAAAAAGGGCACCTTAATTAAATAAAATACTTGTGAGTCAGTCCACTTAATTAAATTAATTAAATAATATTATATGGTCCACCAACATAATATTATTGCACTCCCTTTTACTAGCTCAATGTACAATTGAGACTCCAGTTATAATTTCTCGATTTATCTTCCCATGTTTAAGATATAACTAGTACATAGCCCATGTGATGCACGGAACATAAATATTAAATGAGTCATTTTCACAGAGCTTGTCTGTTAAGTAGCTCGTGCGATTCACGAGTGATATTAAATGAGTGGACCATAGGGCTTGTCCGTTCAAGTCTAAAAATGATAGAGTTTGATCATCTATTTTTTTTACCTCTTTTCATCAACTTCATTTTTTTGTCAAGACATTAAACCTGAGCCTGGTAGCGCTAGCCCATAAATTAATTAATATATTATCTAGCTCACATGTATAATAGTAAACATTTGATTTCATTATATATATT